CAGTCATGTGTTCCCCCCAACCATGATTTATGCTAGTTGGGATGTCTCACCCTAGTTTTTTCCCAAAACTCATCCACATATATCACATTACACCTATGCCAGAAAATTACTAATGAAGGAAACCTAGAAAGTTTAATTCCCACGCATGCTCCAACCCACGGGGAGCGGTAGGCGTGGTTGCGTACTACATTTGAACGTGGCCGCAGCGCTACTGTTGGGATGTTTTCATACAGGGATAACTCTGACAATGTCTTTGTTCAACACAAGACAACATGGCCATTGTCAAACTGAAGTAATTCCACGAATAACTAACCCTGCGCATGTTCAGACGAAGTACGCGGCCACGCCTACCTTGTCTCAGGGATGTGAGTGTAAAGTCCCCTGAGAGAGAGGTGGAAAGGTAATCCATAAGTGTGGGCAGCGTGAGAGAAAAGTGTGTCAAAAATTCATTCCTCCCATGGCTCCTGGCAAACATTGTTCCTCCTAGACAATAATTGAATTCTATGCAACACAGTCATTTAGTTAAAAATGATATTCTCGACAGTTGAAGGCACGCTCTGCATTCATTTCAAAACGAACTTCCGCCACAGTATACTGTGGATAGAAACGTTGGAATAAAAACGTTTAGCCGCTAATGGCCTCTCCAGGGAAGAAAAAAGCCAAAAACAAAGTCTCGCGTTCTCGTTTATAGCCACAAAAGCGATAATTCTGCAGCCTGGGCTTACTATCGTTCCTCCGCGTCATCCAGTACTAGTACAGTCTGGCAACGAAAAAAAAGGGGAATGTGGTGTGTAAAAACTGAACTTGTGACAGTAAACAGATTTAGATTTTGGTGGGCAAGCGACAACCATGGACGACGTTAGAAACTGTCCCCCAATGAGAGCCTCAACACGCTTGATATCAGGCTCTTCTTTGGACAAGGCAGTCCTGCGCGCAACAATGAGATCGTATTAGTTTCGTAACCCTAACATATGTGACGGAAGCGCGATTCGCCCATCTCAGGATATTTGTCAACTCCGAAGCCTGCCTCATCTCCTTTCCTCCTTCTCTTTTCCCATGTCCTTTCCCATCACCCTTCAACTGCTGGGCCAGTAGGAACGGTGAGAAAATATTTCTGGACCCTCACAGCGAAAGCATGTGCGGTTGACAGAAGCCCTGCAACATACCCGCTCCCGACGAAGGCAACGCCCCGCCCACTTCTCGACGAAACGCCCAGCTCGAATTTGCTGGTGCAAGCGCTTCCACTTCGAATGGTGATGTGCCGTGGTGAGTAGGAAGAACCAGCATTTGCAAGCGAGAACTCGTCCGACCATGCCCTTCCTTCGACGCACGCACGCACAAGCGTTGTCCAGCACGGGGCTCTATATAGGGCATATCGAACGGACTTTTCGTGATTTTTTTCCCTACTTTGTGTTATTTACCAATTTGTCATTAGTGTTTGAGTCGCACAACTCACCATTCATGACACGTGCATCCCTTTATGGATCAACCTGGTTATCAATTGCACACCCAATGTCTCCACTACCAGTTATTCTTCGCCAAATGACACTGGGGTAGAAAAACAAGTATTACATTGGGTGACAATCCACTGGTGTACACCGCGTGCCCAAGATTCGTTATGACTCATCTCGCGCATAATTTAGTCCGACGAATCGACCACGATGAACACGCAAACCGCGCTCACGACCAGTCACCCTCGCGCTATAATTCTCACCGAACAATCGATTCTCTCGGAAAACCTCATCAACCTCAAAACCTCAACCAACTACCAATCTGATTCGTGCTATGTAGGAAGTAAAGTCACTTGCAAACCAAAAATAATACCAAGTGCAACATTTATAAAACCACAATCACCGCGTTTCGTTTTTGAATAGGAAACACACCGGAATTTGCACCAGCTGATGAACACTTAAGATTAATAAGGAAAAAAACAATACTTATCAAGGCGAAAATAGCATGCAAAATTAGATGACGTGCGAGGAAGACAAAATGAGCCGCAATTCACTCTAGCAATACAAAATTATTCAAGTAAGGAATGGTATCGGGTGGAGTGAAGCTGATGGAATTTTGAAGACAACACGCATGAAGTAAGATGGTTGGCTAACCATCAAGGCAGATCTGAAATCGAAAGTTAAAGAAACTCGGCGCAACAAAATATGAACTCCCAAAAATAAGTCCTAAATATCGAAATACTAACTCACCAAAGTAATGTATATATTGCAGTATGGACTTAGCAAACGCTTACAAATTCTGCTCGTGACCCCTTGTGCAAAGCTGGCGCTTCGAATAATTTTGGATTATGCAAACGGAGAAACGAATCCATTCCAAACCCCTATTTCCAAGAAATCAATACAAAAACGTTTGGCGACGCCGAATACTTCACCACAATTTAACCTTTCGGAGCTATTGTCGGGATTAATGTTAAGGAGAAGAAGGAAGCTGTTGACCGAATCATTCCCAGAAGGAAAGGATGCTAACGGAAACAACAATCATTTCATGAGGCACACCCTCCACACCTAACATTACCGCTTAGACTACGCCTAGTGGGAAATCACTGTGGCTCAGCAAGCACAAATCAAGTGGTCGCCTTTCACCTGAGAACCACGACCTGTGGCTGAACACTACGAATACCCTTTGAGTCCCGGATACCCAGGGAGTTCGGATACAAGCACCCCTCGAAGGGACAACTTTCTGAAGGGAGGGGCTCTGGCACCACTTTA